TAGAGATGAGTATGATTCTTTAATGATATAAGAATTATACCTTTCTCTTTGATACCGCTTCTTAAAGTCTCTAGATAACTATGTCCCTGTTATAGTTAATGTATAAAAAGGCTTGGAATACACTTTCTGTAACAATAGTATAGTTTTAAAACTATGTTAAAACATTTTTAAATTTATTTTAATTAATAGTAAAATATTCATGATTTATAAGTTTATACTATAAAAGCCCAAAATATTTATATATAATTCTTAAATATTGCAACATAGTTTTATAATAACACTATTCAAATATTATTTACAAGTTGCAAAATTGAATTTGGTTCACTAGTGCTAGAGTTAGAACGTTTTAAGTATGATTTAAATTAAATAATATATTATATATTGGATTAATCTAGATCTAGCATAGGTGCGATTCTCTTATTTATCGCGCTTTATTTTAATTGGCTAGTTTTGTACCATGCGATACTCTTATTTGTCGCCCACCAATCAAATTTCAAGATCAGGTGTAACGTAAAAGAATGGCGAAAAAAACACTTTTTTAATGAAATCTCCAATAGCTCGAAATTTTACATAAGAAACAGCCTTTCGTGTTCTAACTAAAAAAATTCCTTGCAAAATTTTGATATAAACTACGCACGCACTAATCCTAAATCGAACCTACTCTAACCCTAACTAAATCGAAGTAAAACGTTTTGTTTTAATTTTACGTTACACCTGTTACTATAGCACGCGTGTCTATTTTGTACTTTAGTGTAACAAAAAACATGCAATCACGCCGGACTAGGATTGGGGCACGGTGTCCCAAGGCATGCCTCCCTGGGCATGCCCTTTGGCTAAAAGGCATGCTCCCTACTCTTTTATATAGAAAAACCTCACATATGAAGTTACGTTGATTTGATTGGTCAATTATCATAGTTGATTTAACATAATCAATTATGTCTAGAGAAGGCACGCCCAGGGCACAGACGGGCATGCCGTCGACAAAGGCATGCCCAAAAAATTTTTCGTGCCCCCAACCCTACTCTGGACACACAATGCTACGCATTAACCTAGTTTATAAATGAAAATATAGAAGCGAAAAATAAAAAATAAAAAGCAGTCCAATACGAAAAAAACAAATGCTACTATTCTTCGAATACGCCTAGTGAGGCACCAACTTCAGCTACTCCTATTTACCCTCTTCATAAATTAAGAGTCCACCAGTTTGGTTTTTGAATCTAAAGAAGAAATTATTGACGGAATAGTTGAATTTGTAATAGGATTAAAGACTGAGATGGTATCTGTAATTATTATTTGAACTTTCTGATATTTTTATTTTCCACATTCGTTATGCCAAGAACGAAGATCTCTATGAATACTCTATTGATGGTAAAAATTTCCAAGTCAGGTATAAAAAAAAAAGATGGTTTTTTGTAAAAAGTTTTTTAAATTAAAATGATTATCTCTCTTAATTTTTTTTTTACTAAATTTTAAATTAAAATGATTATCTCTCTTATTATTTTTTTTACTAATAAAAATATTTCAAGGGATATGTGTATTAAATTTAAGAATCTATGATTAAAATAAATAGAATAAATAATATTTAAAATTAAATTTTTGGTTTGTATTTCTATAATCTTGTTAAAACAATAACTCAAGATTTAGTTCTAGAAAACTATTTTAACTAATAATAAAAAGTTTTAAGGATTATATAATTTAAGATCTTATCTAATACAGTATACGTGTATTCGATATTCGGTTAAGCTAAACATATTCATTTTAACTTAGGGTTTTAAAATAAGTTGTTATTTTTGAACGTTAATTATAATAATTGAATTAAAATAGACTCAAGTAATTCTTTAATCGGTGAAGATTAAATAACGCATGTATATTTAATCGACAAAAAAATAGTACATGCATATAGTAAAGAATTATGTTTTGGCACAGGACGCAATTATAAACATTGAAATGTCAAAGTTGTCAATTGCATAATTTTAAGAAACTAATTTAAACAATATAGCTATAAATGATATTAATACTGTAACCTAATTTATAAAAGATAAATTTAAATAGAAATACTTTAAACAGATTTTGAGTTACATTAAATTCGCTTGATCAAAATTAGTAGTAGTACAATATTATAACAATTAAAGAGTACATTACATTAATTTGTATGCATGTTTATTTAAAAGAAAACCAACCAATAACATTGAATGATATGTCTATAAAAAATTGTAATTCGAGTACAGTTTATTTTTGTAATCAGAAAAAAATTATAAATTGCCACACGGTTTCTATACGAGATTACGGTCTGTTTTGCTAATTAATCACGCTCTTTATTTTAGAAAAGCTTTCAACAAATACTACACTTTCATTACTGTTATTTAATACAAATACTAAACAATTTTCACCATGGTCTTATCACGCAAACACCTTGCACTTATGTTTATCGTAGCTGCATTTATAATGATAGTTTCAGCAACAACATCCTTTGATCTTTCAAAGAGTGAGGCTTTTCAAAAACGACAACCAATACCACTGGCTGGTAATAGGAAAAGAGATGATTCACCCACCCCAACCGAAACAACCCCAACCGAAACAACTCCAACCGAAATAACTCCAACCGAAACAACTGTTAGGTAAAGTTTTTTCTAAATTCTAAAGAATAAATGCATAAATTTAAACTGATATGACATATTTACCGGTGATTTACAGTGATAGTGCAATTACAACCACCACTACAAGCAGTATTTCAACTACAACGATAGGGTGAGTAACTTTCGTTAAAATATTAAAAGGAATTCTATACCGTATGTTTGAATTTGTGTTCGTTTATATTGAATAGATCAACGGCATTATCACACACTACACTCACCACTACAACGGCAATAACTACTTTCAATAAATCATACACAGTTTTTCAATATACTAAAACTACTAATAGTAAACCAACTGTTGTTGGAGACGACAATCAAGATTCTAATCCTATATATCAATCATCTGTTATTGTTTTGACAGCAGGTGCTACAGAAAGCCCAAATACGGAGTCTGCTGACCAGACTTCGGTTGGCTACCATCAAAGCTATTCAGCTTTAATAATAAGCACGCTTATTATATTAGTTTCTATGATTTCCATGATTACTTTATAAATTTAATATTTTGCTATTCTAATTGGTTTACATTTTAGAGCTTATAATTAATGTGAAACTTTTTCTAAGTGTCTTTTATTTTGTCATTTGCTCTATGACTTAAAAAACACTTGATTGAACGTTCTTATAACTACTTTGATCATTATTTTATCATAAATAAATGGCAAAAATATAATAATTTAAATGAATATCCTGATCCTTATGTGTATAAGCAGAAACGAAGTTTCCGCTAATACCCAAAGATCAATATATTATTATTACTAATAGTTACTAATGAAAAGAATGCTAATATAAGCCATGTTCCATGTGATAAAATTACAATGTTTGGGTTCCAAAAATTTTTGTACTATCGATAATCGGAAATCGTGTAGCGGGAAAAAGATAGATGGTATAAATATTTTCCATTAATTTTCTTGGCATTCTATATACTAATATTATTTAATTGAAATTTTTAATTAATCTAATTACAATTAGTCAATAAAAATAGATTGTGTTCAATCTTAAAATTAGTCAGTTTTTTTTTTATTTCGTCACCAATTTTTTTTTTTTTTAATAGGTGTGAACACACTTCAATAAATAACATCGTGTAGTACTATTCTTTATAGTGTTGCTAATTTAATTAAGTCAACTTTTTAACCAATTAAATCAATATATTAGATATTTAAGTAAAAAAAAACATTTATTA